TTTTTTTCCCTTGCTTCTCAGATCTCAGGAGCGTGTGCCAAAAGACTGTCAACTTGTTAAAAGTACATTAATGCAAATTCCAGAGCTTTCAGTTATGTTTATGCTAATAGAAAGCCTCCCGCTCTGTGACAGGCCCAAGTGAAGAGTCAGTAACAGGAAAATTAATTCCAGCTGTTGAAATTGATTTAAAACTAGCTTATTCATAATAATAATAATGGGGGGGGGAGGGGGAAGAATTCCTGAAATAAAAATAAAAAAGGGAAATACAGAAAGCACAAAATCATGTTTACTGCATGAAAGCAGAAAGGGCTTCTCCTGTTGGGAAGAAATCTTCCAAATTTAATCAAGCCTGGTTAGAAGAAAGCTCTAGCTTGTTATCAGGTTGTAAGTGTAGATTAACATGAAAAGAATTAGCTATGTGCACAGCCTGATTTTGCAAAGGAAACACAGGGGTTTTGTGCACGTATTTTGTTTTATATTCCTTACGTCTTATCCAAAGGTAAGGAGACCAAATCCAGACTGCAGTGGGACAGGTAGTATTTTAGATGATAATGGCTGCGTACTGAGAGCACCAGAGCTCTGAGTGGGAAGATTAGCTACCCATGACCACTACATTTATTCAGTGCCTTTACATACATTTTTGCTGACTTGAGTTCTGAGTGATTTCCGTGTTTAGACAACCCCAGTCTTGGGATCACATACCCCAGCTTTGCTGGGGTTTCAGAGTTCAAACCAAGATCTAGTGGTGAAACTGCTGGCTGCCCTGCTGCTAAAATAATCTCAAATGTCCATATCCTTGATCTAAACATCCAAACTTTTTTTTATCTTAATTTTTCTTTTTAATTTCCCAACAATGATCCTCCTTGACTGTGTGTATGTGTAGCCTTAAAAGTGGAAGGAACAGAACACCTTGCATAATTCAGTTTTGACATGGAAGGGGAGGTAGTCTTTAAAAATTTGTTCAGAAATAGACTTTCATGCATTCAACACCTACAGACTGGAACCAGATTTGAAAATACACTGGTCTCTGCTGTAGTCATCCCTGAGTATAGAATCTTCCCTTTCCTAATGAGCACTTCTGAAAGACCCAAGGTCTTATATAGGGTCCTGCTTAGATGCTAAGCCCTATCTTTTGCCACAGTGGTATCATCTGATTAGGACCATATTCCTTGTTGGTTTTGAAGGGACTGATCCAGAGTTTAGTGACTTAAACACAAACATCTCCATTGGCTCTCCAGACTTCGCATCCAGCTTTAAGGCACAGTCTTGCATTTCATTACTGAAATGGCCTAATAGACTCCACAGACTGTGCCTTCACTGTACTCCTCTCTTAGTTCCTTATCCCCACCTTGTATATATATTCACATTTGCCTCCATGTCAAATGCCACACAGTTTTTAGCAGGCGTGAATGAAGGGGTAAAGACGAAGAGATGCCATGACTTCCATGGATCCCAACCAACTTATGACACTGAGGAATTCACATGCGTGGGTGGATGTGAGGAAAAAGTGTTGGACCAATTTCAGCAAGGACCTTGCAAGAAGCCAAGTCAAACCCATGGTTATTCAGGAAGGCTAACAAAAGATGCCAGCCCTAACACTGCAAGAAAAGAAATGGGCTGGTGTGCTTGCAGGAGGTTGCTTCCTTTTGAGGGGGGAAAAGGGGGAAGGAAGTTCCTCTAGAAATCCTGCTAGAATTTCAGAAATTTGCCCCTTTATTGTCAACTATAGAGAATGAAGATAAACCTTAGAGCATACCACAGCTCAGCCAAACAATGAAATAGGCAGATTAACTGCTGAAATGGAGACGCTGTCGGTCCAGAGACGGACAGTGCCCCTGACTCATGCCATCAGAGGAAGGAAAAAACAACAATAAAGAAAGCGGGGGTTATTTCTCAGAGTGCACCCCATGACTTCTGCCAGCTCATGCCGGGAAAGAAGGACACTGCACATTTTTCACTAGTGTGGGCAGTTAGAACCATAATTTGAACTTAAAAGGACCATTCATAGTTTTATTTACCAACTACAGTTTATCATGTGGAGAAAAAAAGCATTTCAATGTAATAAAAACCTGATTAGTAAAGGAGAAGGAGGAGATATCCCCTGCAGGAGTGATACTTCTCTCCTGAAAAATGAGGGTTTATGTGTGGAAGCAGGAAGGATTTTCTCTAAGGGTTGGTATTTCCCTCCATGGCACTCACTCAGACCTTGCTCACACCATTTTGCAGGCACTTGAACACGAGGCTTAACAGGCTCAGGCCGTTTTCAAGCAAACTGCTGGGTTCTTGCAAGTCCTGTTCTGATGCAAGTCAGGCTTCTACCTGCCTTCAGTTCCTTTGGCCCCAAATCAGCAGTGCAAACCCAGGAATTCAAATACCATCAGTTTGGGTAGAGGGTAGTGGTGTTTGTTTTTAATAACAATCAGTTATGGGTTGTTTTTCTCTGCCTTCTGGATCCTGAGTCTTTTAGGCATAACTAAGTCACACTTTCAAATTACTGGGGGCTTGGGTGTGCATTGTGGAGTTCACATAAACAAAAGGACTAGAAATATGCTTTTGAAATGAAGCTAAAATTTTCAAGTAGTTATTTAATTCCCAAAGATCAGGCACTAAACAATAAAAAAAATATCACTATCCTCACTGGAAAAGACTGGTAGCTGCAAATCCCCTCACCTTTGACTTGAGAGTTGGGGAAAAGCAATCAGGATTTAGCCCTATGACTTAAAGAAACCGTCACTATTCAAAACCTGTAACAGAGATGAAAATCACGAATCTATTTCCCCCAAACAAATGGGGTTTGCCAGGCAAGAATCATGTGATATAAAAATTTCAGGAAAAAGTCTGGATCAAAGCCCAGAAGAAATACACAAACGGGTAAAGGTAGGAGGGCTTCTCTGCCTTGCTTTTGCAGGGCTTTTGAGCCCACTACTCTACTCAGGATGATGATGAAACACAAGGATTTGAGAACAGAGGCAAAAAAGTAACCATCACCTCAGCAGCATCCTGGCTGGACTAGTCTGGAGTGATTCCTGCGCCTGCGGGGAAGACCAGAACATGCTGGATCCCACACGCACAGGGTCAGGGTCAAATTCTCCATGTGCTGCCCTGTTCCACATCCTCCTGCAGAAGGCTGGGCTGGCTGAAAAAGCCAGAACATTTCAAATAACCTTAACACTGTCCACAGCTCATCAGCTGTTTCCCCCAAGCCTCCTCAGGCTGAGCAGCACACATACACCTCCTGCTGGACCCAGCCCTCAGTTCAAGAAGCTGCAGCTACGGAAGAAAGGAGCCGAGTTCTTTTACAAGGCATTAAGTTTCATTTGCAATTACTTGGGATTTTATTGCACTGCTGACTATAACAGGTTAGTTAACTGGGCCGGCAACATTGTACCCATATGCCTTTTTAACAGTGCTTTTCTGTTATTGTTTCCTTATTGGTCTTTTCCCTTTTGCAACTGGATTTTACTGGCGTCCAGCTTGTGCAATAGGTCCCAGGTGGCTCCTCTAAGAACCTTATTTGTTAATTTGATGGCTGAACCAGTGCATAAGGAATGAAAAATACTGAAATGCAATGCCCAAGATGCTACTTCACAGCAGTGGCAACAACCCAGGAAACGTTCCCCAGGGTAAGGCTGCTGGGTGAAGTGGAACCTTGTCCAGTTCATCCCTGGAAGCAAGACACTCCCTGCTAACACACCTACTTTTCTCTGCAACCAACCACGACTCCTGTAGGAGAGAAGAGAGCTGTAACAAATCACCCCACGAGAGCCACAGTGTGCTGCAGGGGATGGAGTCGAAGGGAGAAAAGACAGGGCTCCTACTCCTGCAAGTGTAAACTTCAGAGCTTGCAAGACTTCAGTGTGCCTCAGAGACAGTCAACAAGTTAGCAAATTGGGCCCTAGATTTGACAAGCCACGGTGTTTCCATAGAGAACGCCTTTTTGTTTTGTTTTGTTTTTTTGGTGGCAAAACCTCAAAAAACAACCCTGGTTCAGTCCAACAACTTTCACTCAGAATGCAATGACCAGATTTTCAAAAGAACTGAGCACCCATCAGGGTCCACTCTGCTAAGTGCTTGAGCTGCTTTGAAAACCTGTTTCCCTGAACAAGATACCAGTAACTGATGGTTGAACACGAGGACATACACTGTTCTCTTGCTCCTGCCTTGTTAAATAATGCATTTCTTTCTACAGTGGATAAGCACTGAAAAGCCTTGTGGAAGTAATATATCTGAAGGAGGGATTGGAACAGAGAGATAAGCCTATGGTGGAGAAGGAATTCTACTTGCAGAATTCCATGTCAAGATTTTTTTCCATGAAAAATACCCCACCCCTCATCAGAAATCATGAATTATCATGAAGAAAATGTGTATAAGAAAGGGCTGATTGTGATGAATACTCCTGACCTGGGGGAAAATGAGTGAAAGGTTTCAGGGTTTTGTTTGTCTTGACTCTTTATTTCAATGTTCTAATTTACACTTGGCCAAGACTTGAAATAAAAATAGCAAAAATTGAAATTAGATGTTTCGGTTGTTCAGATCGTATGTTGCCTGGGGCTTTAGGTCTTATGGTGGGGAGGGTTATTTTGTTTTAAGATTTTTGAGTAAAGACATCACTATCCCAATTTAGGAGATTATTTGATTTTGGCTATTTTTCTTGTGCTGAGAAATTCTCCCGAGATGGGAAATCATGGTGAGCTCTGTTCTAGACCCAAGTACAAGGAACAATATCAAAAGGCATCACCACCCGAGAGTACTTCCTTTTGCTGAAACAGAATCCCAAAACATTTGCTTTGCCAAGAATAAGAGAAAGAATAGAAACAGGATGCTCTTGCTGGGGTTACAAGCCATCATTAACAAATGCAACCTCGTCATCTCCCAAAAGAGAGCATCTCATGCAGGCTTACTGATTCGGGGTTGCTCGAGTTGAGCAGAAGATGTGACCCTGATAAACCACAGCACAGATGAGGAAACTGTACTTCTCCTCAGCACTTCTCCCCTCTTACCTTCTTGAGTTCTGATACTCTCAGGCACATGGTGTGACTCTTGGGGATGGTCCTGTGCAGGGCTAAGAGTTGGACTCAGTGATCCTTGTGAGTCCCTTCCAACTCAGCATATTCTGTGGTTCTGTGAAGTTTTTCATTACATTATGTCACACAAAACAGTGAAACACAGAAAAGGTTTGATCCAAGGAAGCCCTGCCCGGATACATTTCCTCAGCCCTCCCCACAAAACCCCTTCATGCAACTCCTCACCTCTCCCCCTTCCCAAAGCTCAGGGGAGCCCTGTCAGTGCCTTCTCCACTGGTGCCCTGGACAGTTGAAGTGGTGCAGGTATCTCCACATGCAATTTGGCACCAAATCTGAACCCTTCAGTGCTTTCTGGAACACCCAGAGCTATCTTCAGAATCCCAAACAAATACATTAATTGCTTTCAATTTATCAGCCTCAAATCATTCTGTCTAATTACCATTCATCTAGAGTTTGTGTTTTTTTTAATGGTTTATGGGTATTGTTGGTAATCTTTTAATTTCTCATTAAAAACAATATCTTGTACGCACTATGTGTGAAAAGCCCTAATCCGATAAATCAAGCAAGAGTAACACAGTTAAAAGGAAATCAGTGGAACAATATTTGGGTTTATATATTTCTGCCAGTCAATTTGTAATTAAAAGTTGCTACTTTAAAAAACACAGTTGTTGCTGTGAAAGCCATTATCAGTCGGCATTTTCATATGAATACTGCTTTAATTAATTAGCAAAAGTAAATACATTATATATCAAAAACCGCTTTCCCACTGAACCCATGCGTTCCAGAACAAAAGGCTTAATAAACCATACAAAAGAGGGACAAATTAGCTGATCCCACCCTCCCTTTTCAGGTTTAGAGTCTTTTAAAGTTCTCCAAGGTTTTTTTCCTCCCACACTTGCCTTTTTTTTTTTTCAATACATTGTTTGTTTTTCTTCAGAAGTGCGTATGAGGGAGAAGATGCTACACAAACACAAAACATGCCATTCAAACTAAATTATTTGGAAATCAGTTTAGCTGGTTCTTAGAAAACAGGAGTGTTTATGATTATTAAAACCCAAATGTAATTACGATCACATACAACACAGTCCCTTTGGAACAAATTATTTGCTGAACATTAAGGGGTTAGAATTTGATTCACAAAAGGAAATTATGTGTCTGAAAAATTCTTTTGTCTAGGGGCATTCCAGAGACTGGAAATAGCAGAAGAAAATTCTCCATTTTCACTACCAAGCTGGAGAGTAAGTGTGGATGAGTGGTGTTGTTTCAGGTGAAAGCCTCTAAGATAAGAACACCTTGAAACATCAATGGCATCTCTTATCTCATGGGCCTTTAACAAGAAACAAGGGTCCTGCCGTCTGAGAAGCAAACAAATCACTCACCTCATCCTGGTCCTTTCCTGCTGAATTGCTGAAGTGCTGCAAGCAGGGCCCATTTGTGGGTATGGAGCAGAGAGGAGGAAGCATCTAAGTTGACTGATGACTGTGGCCAGGGCTGGGGTAACTCAAGACAGTGGACTGTGAAAAGGCAACCCAATGGTGGGACCACTCACACAGGTGTAGAATTTGACCTAAATAAAGAAACCAAACTCAATAAGGCTCTGTTTGATAGATAAGACAGACTAATTACCCCAATTTAATTACACTTACCTACAGAGTTGCAGTTCTCTGCACAGTGATAAAGAGCAACTTCAGTAGGCTGAGCCTCACCACCTTTTCAACAGCATAAACACATATTGATCAACAGGTGAGGCCAAGGAGTGCAAATACCAGGCTAAAAGAGCCCAAGACCAGGTTGGTTAGGGCTCTGAGCAACCTTGTCTACTGGAAGGTATCCTTGTCCACAGCAGGGAAGTTGGGACTAGATGATCTTTAAGGTCCCCTCCAACCCAAACCATTCTACTATTCTATGAAGTACAAGAGAATTCAGTAGAAAAAAGGAATTACCCAAGGGACAATTTTTTACATCTCCTTTCCATGACAGTACTGGAGGTTTTCCACCAGAGGATAGTTCCAAAAATAAAGATCAGCACTCAGAAGATGAGGATATTGTATTAGCTAATTCTATGGCTATATTAAGAACCCATCCAAAATTTCATTAACATAGGAAACCCAACAGTGCACTAATACAAAGGCTGTTCGCAGTCCTCCAAACCCCCTCCACCAAATTTCCTGTATTACCAGATATCTCATTTCCCCCATTCAGTCCTGACTCTTAGCTATCTTCTCACTTGCACAAGGTACTCAGTTTGTGAGGTCTCATTAGGTAGGTACCATTAAATCAAGCCAGAATCCCCCCAGCAAAGGGCACATTTCAGCAGACACAGAGGTGTCCGTGCAATGCGCAGGGATGAGACAACATGGGGTGGGATATCACGAACAGCATTGTGCTGAGGGATGTTTCAGCACAGAAAAGCATGTGCCTCATGCAGGCCCTTTAGCACAGGCATTCTTTTCTCTTCACATAACTGAATTGATTTTTATCATTGTTGTATTTGGTTGAGTCGCCCATCTGGAAAGTTCTTGCCTCCCCCGGCCCCCATAAATAACCAAAACCAGCTCTAACCAAAGGCAGTTGACAGAATCAGCCCCATTGCCCTTTGGCAGTTCTTCCAGGAATTTTTAGGGTTTTTACCAGTCAGGAAAAGGCTTTGATGCTTTGGAATCAGGATTTTATGAAGATCATTTTGTTGGGTTCAGCCAACTCATGAAGTGTCAAATGGGGGGCACTCTTTCATCTCATCACTGGATGGGGAAAAGATCCTCCCTCTTACCGGAATGGGGGCTGGAGAGGGGGGAAACTGAGAGATGAAGGTTCATCCATAGAGGGGAGGGTTTCTTTTCTCCTGATAGAGTCCACCCACTGCATTCCCATCATACTGATTGCTGCAGTCCTATCTGTCTGCTCTCCAGGCTATATCAGATAAGAGGAGAACTGCTCGTTCACTCCAGTTCTGGTGCTGTACTGAGGGGCCTCCCGGCCGCAAGGCCAGGCTCTTCTTTACTTTCCTTTTCCAGCTGCCTTTTTCAATGACTGCTGCATCAGTAGGGATGCTGTCAGGGAACCTGCCACATGCAAAGAATGAGGCAGTAATCAAGACCAGCCTAAGGAAATTTCATCATCCACTTTGCACTTGCAAACGCCCACCTAAAAAAAGAGAGTGAGAAAATCCCTGTGCTTCCTCAAAATTTATGTGCAAATTCCTATCCAGCCACGCCTGGGCTGTTAAGGGCTTGGTTGCCATTTCCCCCTGAACAAGTCCCACCACGGATGGCATTCACACATACTGATGGGCTGTGTCTGAAGCAGCTCCATTGCCTCAATAATTGCAGATATCACTTGTTCAGAAGCTGCAGCCACCAACGAATGTCTATTTGGCAGAACTCAGGCTTCTGCAGGGCTGTGAGCTACGCAGCCCATCTTCGTCTAGCAGTTGATATCATTCCACTTAGTTTAGAGCAGTTGAGGTGCACAACAATCGCTTGTGTCCTCTCCCATGGATGGGCATGGCTGCACTGCCCCTCTTTGCCCCAGTGAAAATATCAGCTTCTTTGGGTATTTTGCTCAGGTCAAACTATTCCTGGCTAGTTCTGTTTGCTATGAACTGTCACTCACAGTCTTCGTGCACAGCATGTCTACAGTCATGCATGTGAGATTTTCAAATGCCAGCCCCTCTACCACAAAACCCATTGGAGACCGTTCAGACCAGTGAAAACACTGGGGTGCTTCAACACTGAACTCAGATTCAGTTTACAAGATTGTTACTCCAAATAAGATGACTAAGATCTAACCTGGAGAATCTCATAACCTCAGCAGTCAAGAAGTGTTTTTGTGGGAGAAAGTCTGAGCAAGACAAAAAAATCCAAGTTCTCTTGTTGGTGTACCCACTGGTTTAAGCTACATTCCAATCCAGCATGTTAATAAGTACAGACACCTCTTCCTGCACCCACGGAGACTGTAATGATGTATTAGATAAAATATTTCAGTTGCTTTTGATTTCTTACAGGAGGAGAGCAAGCAGTAGCACCACAGTGCTCTGGTAAACACACAGATGCCAGATACACATACTAGGAGAAGAATGGAAACAGCAAGCAGGACATCCTGCATCCAGAGCTTCCACTCCTCTTCTGCAAAGTAGAAGCCAGAGACAGTGTTAGCAACAGTCCCAGGGGAAATAACAGCAAAAAGGCTGACTCTGATGATACCCTTTATTTATCTTGCTTCATTCATGTTCACAACCAAATAGAGGCCAGACCAGGGTTCATCAAACCCAGAATCCAACATGAGGCACACACAGACAGCATGAACATGGACACTGATGGCACAGGAGACTTCTGCTGTATCTGCACAGTGTTGCTGAGGTTTAAGTGGGGAGACACAGCACAAAATGTTTAAAGATAGTCGCATGCCTCCAACATACTGCTTTCCAGGGACATAGCCTCTACCACACCAGAGAACATGGAACAACTACTGAAAACAGCCATGCACTCTCACAGCTGTTTCCCAGCCAACAAAATACCAGTGAGTTTCACTGGGAAACTGCACTTTGGTGCTCTTGCACCAGATAGGTTTCTATATATTATGTCTTTTGGGTCTATTACTAAAGGTAGAAGACTCAGGTACTTACAGTGCTGGAGCAGGTCTGCCTCCAGTTCCCAGCTCTGTATGTATGACCTTGAAAAAGTCATTCAACTTTCCAATGGCTGAGCTGTTCAACTGCAAAACAAGGCTTTTTCAGCTTTTGGCTGTCTTGTCTGTTTAGACTGTAAGCTCTTCAGGGCAGGGACTGTCTCCTATTAAATGATCATAACTCTTACTTAATTAGGGTCTTCTACACATACAGGGCCCTCACAAAAATGTCATAAAACAAAAGCTTTCTAATAAATTCTGGGGGATTCCAGATTCTGATCCAAAACTGCTCAGTGGTTTTCCCTGCTGAATATGGTGCCGAATCCCTTGTTAGTTTGTGTGTGTGAGGGGGGAGGAGGGAGACTATAATTTAAAGAGATTGCATAAAAGACCGTTTAAGTCCTTGTGGCTGTATATTTCTTTTAATTAGTTTATGCACAGTGCATTTGCATGGGAAGCTGCACAGCGTGTGGACAGACTTAATTAGGAGAACAATACGTTCCCTCTTAAGATAATGACTTGAGGATTATGAAAATTATTATTCCAGATCCATCCATGGGTCATTTGAGGTTCAGTATCCAGCGAACTTTTAAAATGCATTGAGGTCAGCAGTTTGGATACTGTCAGTAAAGTCACTTGATTTTACTGTTGCTTAAATGATTAATTATGAACAGCAGTTGCAGGCATTCCCCAAGTTACACAATAGCCCAAGGACTTGCTGCATTTCACATATGCCATCAGCTACTCTGGAGGCACAGATGTGCTGAACAGGGCTGTAAGATCCACTGTACTGCCAGCAAAGTCTCTTTGAGAGCTCTCTCCCCCACTCCCAGCTCCCTTTCACCCATCCTTTACATTTTTTTTTCCTGGCTGGGGAGGCAAGAAATTTCTGTCTCTGCTGTTGAATCTTTGTAGCTGGAGAACCATGACAATTAGGTGAGAGTTTTAGGACACAGGTCAGTCCATGTAAATGAAACACCACCCTTTCAGAGCAAAGCACCACTGACAATTGAGTTGGAGACATCACCTAAGTGCACCTCAGCTTAACTCATAGTTTGGTGGGTCCAGAAAAGGCATTTTTCTGCCTCTCTCCAAAGTCCCATCCACTCTTAGGAAAGCATGATTGTTTAAGAAGTGTTCCTGCATCTTATCATGACAGATAGGAAAATAGTCCTCTTTGAAAGAGCTTCTACAGGGATTGTATTTCACAGCCAACTCAGTTCAAATAAATTGGAGCACCCATCCTGCTACCCCTCTCCAAAAATGGTTGCCATTGGGGTAAACAACAGGGCACCTAACAGCAACAGGGCACCCTGGAGCAGGGCAGCCCTCTATCCCCAAAGCTGCACAACTCCAGCTGTCAGGGCTGTGGAAGCTACTATCCTCAAATTTGAACCTCCAGGTACAGAACAGACAGCAAGCCCATCTTTCACCTTAGAAAGAAGAGCCACATACGTAGTTGATGAGAACAAGATCAGCTCTTTCAGCATCAAAACCCATGACTCATTTAGAAATCACAGCAATTGCACCTTTGAGTATCTGTTCCTTCCTCTTCCCTACAATGATAAGTTTTTCACTCAAATGCAGTGACTGTGAATTAAATCAGGATTTCTAGTAGCAGTGACAGCAAAAGCTTGGTGAAATCATTGTGTGTGGTGTTGCTTCTAGAGCTGAGAAAGGAGCAGTTCTGGAGGGATGAGGACAGGACATCTTCAGTTGTGCCTCCCCCACTGAAAACCTTTGATTTAGGGCAGGTGATTAAAAATCAACATTAACATCTGGCAGGGGGGAGAGGTGGGTTTGAAGGAAAAA